CCAAGGAATATCGTCAACTGCATGGTAAAGATAACCGACTCCTGCACAACCGAGTCACCACCGTACTACTCACCCGAAGAACAACTTGACAACAGCACGCCTCGCCGCGAGTCTCTTCAACCGAATCCGACGTACGCCGCCATTGCTCAAAGTGAACCATCCGGGAAAGATACTTGGTTCTTGGACAGTTGCTGCGGACAACACATGTGCTCTTCGGGACGCTTCGTCCAACGCGAACATCGACTTCAACGAGAGGTTGTCATCACAGTTGCCAACAATCAGAACCTGCGCACACGACGACAAGGAGTGGTACAGCTTCAGTCCAGGGAGACTAATGTTATACTACACGTATTAATAAGTAGAGGCAAAAAATGCATCCAGACCTTGGCGACCTCACATGTTGCGCTCATGCCTATCCTTGCACTAATTCATCATGGAACGCACGAACAAGCGTCACGTGCTGCATAGTTGTGCGAATGAGCTCACAAGAGTTCCTATGGCTAGGGAATAGGATGTCATAGGGAACTGTATTAATAAGTAGAGGCAAAAAATGCATCCAGACCTTGGCGACCTCACATGTTGCGCTCATGCCTATCCTTGCACTAATTCATCATGGAACGCACGAACAAGCTCCACGTGCTGCTGTCAAAGGTACTAATAGCAGAAGGACTCGGCTACAACTTACTGAGCGTCAGTCAGTTGATGGCGAAAGGTATTCACTTGGAAGCCGACAGCACTACACATGAGTTCAAGTTGTACCACGGGAAGGGCGGCCTCTACATCGGAAGGGCGGTGTTGAAGAACAACGTCTTCGTCCTCGATTTCGTCCCCGACCTGGGCACTGCAGATAGCGACGCCATCGTCAACTTCGCCGATTGGACACATCCCCCGGATCTCGATCCCAACTTCAGCCCAGGAGGCTTCTCGTACTCGCACACCATATCTGAAGCAAAACGAACACGCGCATTAGCAACAATTCAACAATCAGCAGCAGCAGAGACAACATCGGCAGCAGCAGAAACAACATCAGCAGCAGCAACATCATCGGCAGCAGCAGAAACAACATCAGCAGCAGCAACATCATCGGCAGCAGCAGGACCAACGACACCAATCTCTGTCGACGAAGCACCACCAACACCCGCACAGCAGCTGAACCCGACTCAACGAGAAGTCCACAGAAGCGCACACTTCGTCGCCAGCTTCTTCTCCAACTCCGACGAGTATCAACGCTCACCCGGACACCGCGCTCCTGAAGACATCTGGCACGCACGCACAGGACATCCAAGCAACACAGTGTTAAATAACACAATTCGAGCAGGAGTTCTAGACAAGGACTCGCTACTACTACCCGACGGCAGAGAACTTCAACGTGCACGAGGAACTTGCCTTATCTGCCCCGAAGCCGACTTACCCCATCGACCATTTTCTTCTCACCACAACCCAAGCGCACCTACATACGCACCACTCGAGAAAGTATACAGCGACATCCTCTTCAATCGAGAACCAGGACAAGTCACCTACAATTACACGATGACCTTCATCGACGCCGCCACTCGATACGTCTGGCATCGAAACCTACCCAGCCGCGACATGGCTCTCGTAGCGTTCGCCGCTTGGCTACCGGTAGCAGAGAGGGAATCAGGAACACAACTGAAAAGCTTTCAGACAGACGGAGGAGGAGAGTACACCTCTCAGCGCTTCAAGCAGTACCTGGCGGAAAGGGGAATCAAGCAACTCCTCTCCCTTCCCTACGCACATCAGCAGCAAGGTGTCGCAGAAAGAATGAACAGGACTCTGCAGAACAGCATGCGCAAACTGCTACGTGGCATGCGGCTACCCAACCACCAGTGGCCTGCAGCAATGGACCATGCTGTCATGCTGCACAACTTGCTGTCGTCGTCGTCACTCCCGAACAACGCATCATCGCATCTGCTGTGGACAGGGAAGCAGGGCAGCACAAAAATGTTACGAGTTTTCGGGTGCATGGTACAGTACCGACCCCCAGAAGCACGAGCAGGAAGATTTTCACAACGGGCACAGTGGGGACTACACCTCGGCATCGAGAAAAATTACAACGCGTGGAAAATCTTCGACGTCCACTCAAAGGAAACAGTAGTAGCACGTGATGTGATTTTCTACGAACGCCTCACCCTTCAGACGTACCTCGCCAACTTGCACGAGAATCAGGACCCCACAGGTGGCTTTCGTGGTGACCGAGCATTCGCCTCAGCAGCAGACGAAGCAGACTGGGACGAGCAGAACGTCGACAACGCATCTGAAGAAGTCGGACCTCTCCCGTTCTGCTCCGTCAATGTCCCCATGGACGAAGAAAATCCTCGCGAAAGTGCCAACGCCGAAGTCTTCTATCACTTCGCCGACAACGGTTACGTAACACCTGCGACAGTCAACACAAATGAAGCAGAACGGATAGGGCCAAATTTCATACCCGATCCAGAAGCGGGAGACGAAGCAGCTTATCCCGAGGATCCAACACTCCCCCGATACTCACAGACTGGGCTGCAAATCCTCGGCCTCGTCACCGCAGTGCACGGCAACGCGCTTCCTAAGGAGTCTGCGACGGTTCAGCAGGCTCTGGGGGGGGAACACAGGGAGAAATGGCGTGAAGCCATGGACAGAGAACTAAAGGCATTGGAGGAACGCAACACCTGGAAGGTCGTTCCCGCAAGCGTGGCAAGGAACAAGACTATTCTCACCGGGAAATGGGTCTTCCGCATCGAAACGAAAGCAGACGGCACGATCGAGAAATTCAAGCACGCTGGGTCGTGCGTGGATTCGATCAGGAGCAAGGACGAGACTTCACCGAGACATTCGCCCCAGTCAGTCGACATACCTCTCTCCGAATCCTTCTCGCCGTCGCCGCCATGAAGAAGAAGAAGCTGCGACAAATTGATGTCGCCAATGCATTCCTCTACGCACCCGTCGACGCCGAAATCTTCGTCGAACTCCCACACGGTACCCACGGAAACCCCAATCAGGTCTGTCAGCTACTGAAATCTCTCTACGGAATCAAACAAGCACCGCGGTTGTGGCAACAGCACCTACACACCCGCCTTACTCGCATCGGATTTCGTCAACTACCTCACGACCAAGGGATGTACCGACTCACCAAAGACGCAGACTACATCCTGCTGATAGTCTATGTCGACGACTTGCTCTACATCGGCTCCACCGACGACGTCACCACCTGGTTCGAAGGGGAGCTGCAGAAGGACCTCACGCTCACGGTCTCTTCTACCGTCACGCAGTACCTCGGGCTCAACATCCGCGAAGAAGAAAATGCGATCTATCTAAGCGCCGAGAAATACGCCGACACGATCGCCAAGCGTTTTTCGCTCACACCTACCGCTATCGCCACGCCATACCGCTACACGGCAGGAGATGACAAAGGAAATTCCGCTCCACTCAAAGCTGCCGGAATACGAGACTACCAGAGGAAACTGGGCTGCCTCCTCTTCGCAGCCGTCACCTGTCGCCCGGATCTATCCTACTCCGCAAGCCAACTCGCTACCTACCTCAAGAAACCCGAAGCAGAGCACCTGCCGGAGCTCGATCGCGCACTGCACTATTTCGTGAGCACACCGACGATCGGCCTGACTTACTACAAGAGCGAAGCTACGTCAACGAAACTAATCGGCTACGTCGATGCCGACCATGCCGGCGATTCAGATAACAGGCGCTCTCGCACTGGCTACGTCTATCGTCTAGAGCCTATCGGACCTATCTCCTGGCAGTCGAGTAAGCAGGAACTAATCGCTCTCTCTTCAGCTGAAGCAGAATATATCACCCTCGGCTCAGCCACCAAGGAAGGACTCTATCTTCGCGAACTGCTGGAAGAAGCAAAGTTAGCCGAGTTACCCAACTTCACCTTGTTCTGCGACAACCAATCCGCAATTCGCATCGCCAACAAGAGCGGATTCGCGAACAGAACGAAGCATATCGCCCTGCGATACTTCTTCGTGAAAGACGAAATCGAGAAAGGGAAACTCGATCTATCCTACTGTCCCACGTCCGAGATGGCAGCCGACTACTTGACCAAGAAACTTGGAAAACAGAAGTTCGAGTACTGCATGCTGCTGACTGGACAAAGCCACGTCACCATCAGCGACACTCCAGAAGCGAAGGGGAGTGTTGGGAACAATAAGTCTTAAGCGCCTCTGTCGTGTCGAAACTCAGGACACAAAGCGAAGAAGTCCAAATCGAAGCATCGCGAGTCAACCCTCGGAGGTTAGGGTAACCGCCTGAAGGTTACGGGAAGGTCAAAGGTCAGCGACCTTTGACTTGACCAATACAGCGCGACAGCAAGGACACACAACTGACTCGACATTGAGCAGTTGCCCGAGTCGCACTGTATCGAATCGCAACAGCAAGGTAGTTTAATTACATCTATTCGTATTCCTTGTACTCTTATATAAAGCTTTGTATTTGCCTGTTTTAATCAACTTACTTTGCCCTCACATACCAGCGCAAGGTGGTTCAAGACTTTCTTATTCAACGCTTCCGCTATTACATCATCCTACTCAAACTTTAACTCTACAAAGATCCTAGGGCACCTCAGCCCAACAATACATTTGCCCCTAACTCCTACACTTTCTTAACCCGTACACACAAATAGGTGTCTTATAATGAAGCTAGCCTGTTTATAAGAGACACCCGTATAATAGACAACCCCTGTCTACTATTCAACACAGTCTTATATCGGGGTGATGACAGAATTTTTGGCAGGAGTTACATGTGTGACCATTCGCGTGATTGTTTACCTGTTGTTAGTGACTGAATCCGTAACCCCACTTACCAAACCCGTCAGCAAACCCAATAGTGGCCATACGCGTTACTCTTTTACCATTCACGTTATCGAGTCCCATGCTAGTTACTTGACATATTTTCCCAAAACATAATACACAATGAAATCACACTGAACTCAACTCAACGTATGTTGTCAAGGGTGTTCTCGTCTTGGCAGTATCTTAGCTCTGTGGTAGTCATTCTATCTCGGCCAAATATCTTGCGAGTGCTCTCAGCCCAACAGGACGCATTACAACTCCGCTACCACCATCCTCACCCACATCATCACCCAACCCGTCATCCCCACCATCCCCTTCGTCCCCGTCATCAGCACGCCATCCGCCCTGGGCGCCACGCCACACACGGGCGGCGAGCAGGAGGTTGAGGCGCTGGGAGGGGTGGAAGGCGTCCCAGAAGACGTGGTGGGAGGGGCGGCGGCACAGCGTGTAGGGCGTGGGGGTGCCGTTCACCAGCGCCGTGCGCCCGCACTGCACCAACCCGTTCAGCGGTGCAGGCGCACCGCAGCACGCCTCTGGGCCGCTGGTGAAGCCTGCAGGCAGGGCGGGTGAGGGACGTGCACGGGAGGAAGGGAGAGAGGTGTTGGGAACGAGGGAATGAGCAGGGTGGGGGGTGGAGGGGCGGAGTGATAAGAGGTGAAGGAAAGAGGGAGTGACAATGACCCGATTGGCAAAAATCAGGCAAGGCACGAGTGATGGGCAAGGCACGAGTGATGGGCAAGGCACGAGTGATGGGCAAGGCACGAGTGATGGGCAAGGCACGAGAGTGATGGGCAAGGCACGAATGATGGGCAAGGCACGAGAGTGATGGGCAAGGCACGAGAGTGATGGGCAAGGCACGAGAGTGATGGGCAAGGCACGAATGATGGGCAAGGCACGAGAGTGATGGGCAAGGCACGAGAGTGATGGGCAAGGCACGAGAGTGATGGGCAAGGCACGAGAGTGATGGGCAAGGCACGAGAGTGATGGGCAAGGCACGAGAGTGATGGGCAGGGCACGAGCCACCTCACTACCGTCAACGTCAACGGCTATTCCAACTCCCCACGTCTCACCACTCTTCTCGCTTCAAAATGCTCATCCACCTAAATTCTCGACTGCACCACCTTCTCAGAAACCACAACCAGAAATAACATCCGAGTCACAAATGCCACCATCGGTAAAAGGACACAGAGATACCATCCCCTCCCCATCCCCTCCCCATCCCCTCCCCATCCATTCTCCCTCCCTCTGCACTCACCCAGGGCCTCCGGCTGGTCAACAGCGCGGACCACAAGCCCCCCAACGTCCG